CGTCTCTAGTTGGGCTAAGAGAAGGAGTAAGAGTGTTTCAGGAAGAGGAAAGGCCCACAGGCAGTGAGCAGGGAGCTGCCAGGGAAACCACAAGTCAGTCTCCCTGGATTGTGCAGGACTGAGGGGGAGGTGAGAAATGAGGCCAAACCACAAAGGGCTGTGTAAAGCCTTGCCGAGGTGGTGAACTTGATCTTAAAGTTAGTGGGAAATCATTAAAGAGTCTGGAGTAGGGAGTGAAGTAATCAGATCTGCATCTAAACAGAGAAACCATTGCAGCTACAGGATGTGTCTTGGGATGAAGAGCTCCAACCCCGACCTAAATCCTTGAGTTCTCTCCCAGGTTACCCCACACTGTACTTCTAGCTCTCGCTCTTAATGGAATCCCTAAATGGGTATAGGATGCAGGGCTTCAGAAGAAATCTCCCTCCTTAACACCTGAGTGGCTCCCCAAAAGAGACAGCCACAACCTAATCCCTGGAACATGTGAATGTGACCTTATTTGGAAAAAGGGTCTTTGTAGATGTAATTAAGTCAAGGATCTTGAGATGAGATCAGCCTGGATTATCTAGATGGGCCCTAAATCCAATGATAAATGTCCTTAGAAGAGGCAAAAGAGGAGAAGACGCAGACAGAAGGGGAAGAGGCCATGTGACCATCGAGGCAAAAACTGGAGTGATGCTACCACAGGCCTAGGAAGCCAAGACATGCCAACAGCCACCAGAATCTGGAAGAAGCGAAGAATGATTGTCCCCTAGAACTGCCAGAAGAAAGCCGTGCTGTCACCTTGATTTCAGACTTATGACTTCCAGCACCGTGAGAGAATAAATTTCTGTTGTCTTAAGTCAGCTAGCTTGTGGTAATTTGTTACAGCAGCCACAGGAAACTAATACATCCCCATGCTGTAACTAGGAGGATTCAGCCTCAGGACCCTTCACCATCAGTGGACCCTTATGAACCAGAACACTTCCTTTCTGTTTAGAAGGTGTGACTGTAACAGAGGCAAGAAGCCAGGCTAGACTATCAGTGGATCCTTCTTCTTTGTACCGCTTGGCGTTGAAAGGACACCTTTGCCCACACCTAGAAAGCATATCACCAGAATGAAGCATTGGACAAATCAATGGAGCTGGGTCTTTGGCCAAGGTCCAAGGACTCTGAGAGTGAAGCTAGAATGCTGGCAGGGCTGTGTGGGAACTAATGGTTTGGGAAGAGCAGGGAGGGCGGTGAGTTGTTCTATGTTGGTGGGCACAGATATGGCAGGGAGGATTGTTGTTCAAACAGGATTCCTAACTCCAGTTTCCCAAAGGGGACTGTGGTGCTCTGGAACATTCAGCTTGGCTTTTAGGGTGGGCTTACTAGGGCTGACATACTGTGAGACTTCCATTTCCAGACAGTGAGAAGCCAGCCCACCCCTGAAAGCATCAGTACTTGACCTTCAGGTTTGCACTACGTGTCTCTTCCCTGGGGAAGCCTTACGTATGTATCCCCGTGGATGAGTCAGTTCCTCTGTTAGACTGAGGCTTCTCTTTTGGAGGCCTGATCAACATTGTACTGTACTGATATAACTGTCTTCATGAAAGAGCAGTCCACGCCTTTCTCCTGACTAGCTGTGAGCACCCCGGTAACCAGCCCGGTCCCTGGCTCACTGTTGGTGTCCAATAAGTAGTTGAAGAACTAACCAGATCAATGCTCAGGCCCATCTGAGTTTTCAAAAGGAGAACGATTTCACCTGGTAGTTTCAAACCCTCTGAGAGCACCAACAGCTAGGGGCCCAGCTTAATCTCAAGAGAAGGAAATAGGATCAAAGGTGAAAGGCCCGGGGAATAAATAAAGCTGCATGTGGGAGGTAGAGAAGATGTCACCTCCAAACCCGGGGTTGCCAGAGGCCAAAATTTCACAACCCTTCCTCCGTGAGGAGGGATCCTTGTGCCAATTGGTTTAAGTCTTGGCCAAGATGGCATCCCATACTTCCTTTTTTATAACCCCGTCTCTCCTCCCAAAAACCTCCCCCTCCTGAACATTAATTTCACGTTGTGAATAGCATTTGGAGGGACTGGACTCTAACAGCATCCAGAGTCTCATCAAAGTACAAAAGGACACGTGACTCATCACAAGTTCTCCCCAAAGGGTCTTCGGCTTACGTTTTAACAAAAGAGTGACATGGTAAATCGGGATTGTAGACTGGTTGCCACCAGACCTCCTCTGTAAAATAGGGAAATAACGGTGCTCACCACGGATGGGAGAAAAGTTGCGAACGAGGGCGAGCAATCAGTGCAGTGCCTGGCCGCAGTCGCAGGACTAGCAGCAGCAGGGACCACAGTTGTTCTTCTAACCTGTGGTGTGATGAGTCAGAAGGTCTCTTTGAATCGGGTGAGGGTGGGGCAGAGGAGGTGAGGAAGGAAAGTATCAAGAAAGAAAGGTACCCATTTAGTAGAGTACAGAAGGAGCTGGCCAATGAAGAAGGGTCTCAAGTCCCCTCGGCCTCCTTGTTCTGGGTCCTACCTCTTGCCTCTTGTCTGAAGCTCCATTAGGTAGACCCTGTTCCATTATGCTTGCCTCTTTCTTTTTATAAACACCTGCTCTAATGGACTAGCCTTATAGATTTGTTTATACTAACATGTAAATGACTGTTGGGGCTTTGCTCATTTGCATAAGGGGAAGGGCTTTCAGTTGAAATGAACACCATCGAGTGAGTGGGGGAGGCAGAGGGCTTTCTCAATGATTCAGAAAGCACAATGCCTATTCCATCCGGAAAACCAGCAGGTATTCTACAGTCTGGCTATGCCAGGGGGGCCAGGCCATTTTGGTTTTGGTTAAACTGGCTGAGCAAATTCTGAACCCTCCATCCTCTTCCTGGAAGTAGGAAAGTAGGCAGGACCATGGTGGCGGGGAGAGGCAGACAAGGGATGCTAGACAGAACAGAGGTACACAGAGCAGGAAGGGATGACTCCCTCCAAATGTGCTTCTAGGGGAAAGCAGCACTGCCAGGGGGAGAGCAGAACTCTAAAAAGCATGACTTTCAAGGTAATGAGAAGTAAGGGGTTCTAGCCTTCCAGCTCTTTGGGGTACCCTCAGACTCCTTCCATGGGCCCTCCCGCCCCATGAGACATTGCAGGTCATGGCTGGCATTTTCAAGAGAAGCCCATCTCATGGGAAGATGCAGTAACCCACAGTCAACCTGGATACTGCCCGGGCCTCCCCATCTGCCCTGCAGCCTGGTCCCAAAGTTAGGACTGGACCAGACTATGATGGGGAGTCGGGGGTCGGCTGGAGAATTCAGGTTACCAGAGATGGTCAGCACAGAGATCGTGGAAAGGACTGGTGGAGAATGCCACCTGCCCTCCCCACAGCATGGCCCCATCCAGCATGCTCCAGGACAGTGTGATGCCAGAGTGTGAAGGGCCTGGCCTCCAGCAGCTCCTAGGAAAGGGGCTCCAAAACAGAAGAAACAGAGATGGGTCAGAGCCAGTCCTGGAACACAAACACCGGTATATTTTGTGTGCATGAATGTGAAAAGAAAGAGACAGAGACCAGTGGAGACAGAGCAGGCAATGGGTGCACAAACCAGGCATGTATCCTTCTGAAGAGGTGCCATAGCTGGGAGACAGTCCCACCCGCCTCAAAGCCCCTTTTGTAGAGCAGGGACCTGGCGCTCCTCCAGGCCTGGCGTGGCCTCAGAGTGGAAGGTGCTTTCCCTGCCTTAGCCATAAGCCCTCCAGGCCTGAGCCTCCCAATTTTCTGCATCCCCTGTGGTGGTGTCTGCATAGCCCAGAGCTCTATAAATACAGGCTCTCCTAACTGACCCACTCAGTGGCTGCCTCCCCAGGAGACCCATGCAGAAAGCGAGGGACCAGGACAAAAGGACTTCACGGGCACTCCCTAGGTATTATTGCTGTGAATAAGCATAGACCATTGTGACTCACTGGCATGGGGGAGGGGGGGGACACGGCACAAGGGACAGGATGCCTAGCAGATGTCAGAAGCGATTCAACCATGCAGGGCAGCACATGGCGATCTGTGACTCAGAGATGCTGCCATGTCCTGTGGAGAGAGGCCCAGGACACCAGAGGTTCATAAAAAGTGAGCAGATTCTCTGCTTTGCAGGGCTGGGATTACTCCAAACTTTGAGTCCTTGGGCACTATGGGATTGGGGCCCTGAAGACACACAGATCCTGTGGTCAAGCTCCAGGTCATCACCTCCCTTTGCTAGGGGCTCTGTCCCCTACGAGGGAGAATAGGAGCCTCAGGGCACCTGGATGAAGCAGAAGTACAGTGCCCTGCACGTTGCCAGGCAGGCAGGTTTACTCGGGGACCTCTCGCACTTGGGAGTTTTTATAGGGCCCAGAGAGATAGTGCCAGGGAACAGACAGGGCAACCTCTGGAGCGGCCAGACCCAGTGGGCCACCCAAGGGCTTGCTCTGGCAGAGAATCATGGAGGCCTTGGGCTGGGAGACATCAACAAGCTGACCACCAGATTCTGTCGTGGAGGGGAGAGCAAAGGTGAGTAGTGTGGTCTAAGGGGCTTAGAGGGGTAGTGGGGTCCAGGAGACCGAGATAATGTGGATCAAGGGGAAAAGACCGAGGAAACAATTACTGACAGAACGGGGAACCAGACACTATTCTTCCTCTGGAATCCCCTCCACCTGTAGATGGAAAGCAATTGACCCCCACTGGAAGGCTGAACCCCTAGAAGCCCCAAAGCCCTGGAATTGGGGCCACAGTAAAATCAAAGGTAGGGTTAACCCCTGCAGAATGTAGGTTGTGCCTAGACTGGAGGAGCCTGCCCAGGACATAGAGGCTGGGGATCGCCCTTCAAACTGTCCTGGACAGGGTCACTGCAGAACACAACCCTGCCAAAGGCAGAGTCTCCCAGCCTTTCTCCCAATCCAGGACACCGCCCCTGCCCACACCCCGCATCCCCACCCTGGCCTGTGCCCTAGCTGGTGCTGTCTGCACAGTCTAGGTGGAGCAGTACAGCAAGAAGAGGAGATTCTCTCCACAGGTGGTATTATCACTTTTAATGTTCTTTAAAAAGGGAAAGGCTGATTTCTACCTAAGAGTCATAGTGTGGTCAAGAAGAGACCATGTACCATGGGAAAGGCTGTGTTCTGATGGACCCCTCCACTCAGGGAGGGGGCAGAGCTGGAAGTGGGCTGGAGTTAGGATTTCACCTGTCTACTGCCAGCAATGGACCTGTCACTGAGGAAGGCGGGGCAACCGAGATGACAATGCCCATGAGCACGGCAGGGTAAATACTGTTTAAGGAGCAAGCTCAGTGGGTCAGCCTTTCTGGGAGGGCTGAGGACAGGGTAGCCCTGAGGAGGTTTGCTGCAGGGCTGGGGCTATGGCAGAACCAGTACTGACCCATTCCCACTAAGGATGCTTCGAAGACCCTCCCAAAGCTGAAAGGCTCTCTCTTTCTCCCTCCCTCAGTCTCCATGACTCTCCAGCACTGCATACCTGCTCCTCCACCACCTAGAAAGCTAGACTGCCCCGGATGGTTTGAAAATAAACCAGTCAGGTACCTTCACTGCCCAACTTCCCCCCTTCACACTGATTTGTCTCTAGGTCCCCATTGTGGATCCATGGGGCCCAAGATGGCCTGACTGTGCGTTGGGGCTATCATTCGTTTTTAGCCACTGCAAGGAGGTGAGCACCAGGGGCCCTGCCACAATCCCCCAGACCGGGGCAGGTGGGGAGGCATAAGGGGGGACTTCTCAGGAATCGGGCCATCGACAATAGTGGAGGGAAGGCTGCAAGAGGGTGGGAGGGGTCTGCTCAGGGCTCTATCTCTGGCAGCTGCTGTGTTGCCTAGGGAGTTGTGGGTGGGGCAGGTGGGGTGCTTACATGGATAAAGGGGCTGCTAGTGGTAAAGGCTTTGAAAATAGGAGAAAAGGGGGAAATGCTGCCGAACACACAGGGATTGAAACCTCCAAAAGCCCAAGGTTGGTGGGAATCCAGCACCAGGGGGGGAGCCCCCGAAGGCCAAGGGATCAGCGTGGGACCCTGGGGGAGGGGAAAGGAGCCAAGGGAAGACCTCCCAGCCCTTGCAGACCAGCACTCCTGCCCAGCAGCCTCCTGGCTGCCCAGTCTCTTCTTAGGCTGCAGCTCAGCAGGCCCCTGGGGGAGGTATTGGTTGCAAGCAAGCACCTGAATATTGCCTAATGGAACCAGCTGAAGCCCAACTAAACCAGGTGAGAGGGAGGCAGGTGGCCCCCGCAGCAGCCCAAAGCCTCCTCAGGCTTTGCCTCCCACCTTCTGCTCCACTCTGTGTCCCTTAGTCAGGACAGGGCCTGCTGCTTCCAAAGTCACCCACGTAGTCCCGTCCCTGTGTAGCCACAGGCCTCCCGCCCCTGAGCTGGGCTGAGATCCACAGACCCTACCCGAAGTGCCCCTGCCGCCTCCACACCCCGCCCCCAACGCCTGACCACGCCCCCAACGCCCGCCCACGGTGGCGGGGGGTGGGGCACGGGGGCTCCGTGTGCCCTACGGGGCAGGGCTTGTGCTGTACAGAGGGGGCAACCCTACCAGCTTGGTACCCTTGTCCGCAGGATCCATGAGAGCCTCCCAGCCCACCCCCCTCCCCCAGCTCAGTCAGTCTTGACGTGGCCGTTGGCCAGGGCCAGGGGGCCGCTGGGCTCCCCGGGCTCGGCGTTCTTGTCGAAGCGGAGGCGGAGGGTGTTGCGAATGATGAACTGCTCCATGATGAGGGCCCCGCAGAACCAGGGCACGGCGTACTCCAGGGTGATGAGGCCCATGAAGTCAAAGTCGAACTGGGAGTAGTCCCAGGGGCAGGCGTTGAACTGGCGCAGGATGAAGCCGGTGGTGAACTCCCACAGGTAGGTCCAGAGCGTGTAGATGAGGCAGCGCACCAGCAGCGGGCAGCGGCCGCGCAGGCGCAGGTACATGCGCTCCACGATGAGGATGGACGTGCCGTAGATGAAGAGCGCCCACACGCTCGTGACCCCCGGGAACTTCCAGTTAAAGTTCACCACGAATTCCCAGGCCGCCGTGAACATCACCTCGCAGAAGTAGCCATGGATGGCGTACAGGTACCAGCGGGACAGCGCCGTCAGGGGCTCGGCGGAAGCCATGGCGCTGACTGGGGCTGGCTGTTAGGGACGCAAAGGAGACACAAGTGAGGGAGGAGGCCCACAGACTTGCCCGCCCCAAGTCTCTGGAGTGACCAGGCCGGAGGGGATTTCAAACCTGCCTCTACCTTTCTCTTTTAGTTACTCATTATACTCCTAACCCTATTCCATGTTCATTACTTTATTTCATATTCCTTACCTGAGCCAGGTAGGCATGAGAAATAAAAGGAGGAAAACAAACAGCCCCACTGGCTTCCTCTGAGAAACGCTACTCAAGTGCTACTTGGAGAGAGGTGTCTACTACACTCCCTATAATAACTCCTTAGGCTGACTGGTAGTCAGTGGAAGAGTACCCCCATTTCCAGGCTACTTGCTCATTTTTCACTAGGCCCATCCACTGGGGTCCCCATCTCTTCCCCCACTTCTTCTCAAACTCAGGTGAGTTCCACATCACTCATACTTCAAGTGAGCTCTTTCTAAGCAGCCCGTCACATGTGTCTTTTATGTGTGTGTATGTGAACATATACATAACATAAAAGTTACCATCTTAACTGTTTTAAAGTATACACTGAAGTGATATTAAGTACATTCTCATTGTGCAGCCATCACCGCCATCCATCTCCAAAATGTTTTCATCATCCCAAACGGAAACTCCGAACTCATTAAACACTGTCTATCTCCCCATCCCCTCTCCAGCCCGTGGCAACCGCTATTCTACTTTGTCTCTATGAATTTGACAACTCTAGGTATCTCGTTTAAGTGGGTTATGCAGTATTTGTCCTGTTGTGACCGGCTTATGTCACTGAGCCTAACGTCTGCATGGTTCATCCATGTTGTAGCATGTGTCAGAATTTTCTTCCCTTTTTAAGGCTAAATAATATTCTATTGTGATCTACCTAGGTATATTTTGTGTATCAACTCATCCATTAATGGGTGTTTCCACCTTTTGGCTATTGTGAATAATGCTGCTCTGAACATGGGTGTACAAATATCTGTTCGAGTCCCTGCTTTCAGTTCTTTTGGGTATTTACCCAGAAGTGGAATTGCTGGATCATATGGTAATTGTTTTTATTCTCTGAGGAGTGGCCTTGCTGTTTTCTACAGCAGCTGTACCATATTACATTCGCACCAGCAATGCACAAGGGTTCCAATTTCTCCATATCCTTGCCAGCACTTATTTTCTGGTTTCGTGATGATGGCCATTCTAATGGGTGTGAAGTGGTTGCTTACTGTGGTCGCATTTGTTTTTAACTGCTCCCTTAAGTGGGGTTTTGGTGTTTAGTTTCGATATTGAGAGGAAACCAGTGGGCTGACAGAGGAGAGAGTCCTCCCCTTTACTTCTCATTCCCTTCCGATCCTCTCTTTTAAACCCCACTGGCCTTCAAGGCCCCATCATGCTTCTCCGAAGACTGGCCTGGCCCTCCACCAGCGACTGTGTGGACCACTCATTTGACCCTTTACTCAATGCCACCCCTAGTTACTATCCAACCAGCCTGTGTACTCCTTGATGGCAGCAGCTGTCTCCCGGTCCTCTGTTCTGTGGCCTTGGTACAGTCCTCCCCTGAGCAGGTGTTCTCTAAATGACACGTCATTTATGTGGAGGGTGGGGTGGGAGAGTTCAGGGTTATATCAAGAACGGGCAGGCAGAGCAGGAGAACATGAACCCCAGCTGCCAGTGGACTCCAGGCTGACACCTCTGGCAGTCCTCTCTCCGAGGTGGTAGAAGGGACAGGTTAACAAGATGACATTTGCAGTCTGCCCACCTGTCTGGGAATCCCAGCCTTACGTTTCAGCTAAAGCAGACCTAGTCACAATAATGCCTACCCATGCACATTGCTTGGTGGTCTTCCAATCACTTTCATTCACATTTTGTCATTGGTTCTTACTAAATTAAGACTCGTGTGAAGGGCAGGTAGTTTGACTTCTGTTTTTTAAGAGAGGTAGTTGAAGCTCAGAGAGAAGTCATTTGCCCCATATCCCAGGGCCACTGAATGGAAGACGTGAGACTAGAATCCGTATCTTTTGATTTCGACTTCAAAACTCATCATACTTCAGCCATCTCCTAGACACGCGTGCCTAATGTCACTCCCCTGCTCAAAAACATTCAATGGTTCCCCATTTGCTAATGAAACGCTGCAGTGTCGTTGGCCTGGCATTCAAGACTCCCTGATCTCACTCCAATCTACTTTTTCAGCCTAATTCTCACAGTCCAGCTCTCTGCGTCTTACCACCATCCCATCTAATGTGTTTTATGTGCCTTTCTCCTCTTGCCTCCACAAGTACAAACCCAGCTTACAGGTTACCTTCAGAACAAAATCTTTTTCATCCTCCCAACCACAAATCCTTTCTTCCTCCCCTGAAAATCCACAGCATGTACTCTGTCTCTCTTTGGTACAGATGATTTTGTTTCACTGTTGATGACTTTCAGTCCCCAGCCAAACAGCTTTCCTGTGTTCTACACCTATTTACCCCACTCCTTCCCGAACACCTCCACCTAAGTGTCACATAGGCACCTCATATTCCTTTCCCAAATCAAACTCATTATCTTCCCTCCCAATATCTCCTATGACCCCCATCATTTGTTCTCTTTTTCTTTTGGAAATTAGAACACTTTGTGCAATGTTTTGGTCCACTCTTAGCTTCTTTTTTCTTTTTAAATTATGCAATTAAAGGAGCACCCAGCACACAACTCGACACAGAGAGTGTAGGAGGACCGGCCGGTGATAGGAGCCCAGGCCTCTGGCCTCAGGCTCAAGCTCCCCTCGCTGCTCCGGCCATGGCACCGAACAGCAGCCCCTCAGGGCCCGGGAGGGTGAAGGGGGAAGGCAGTTCCAGCCCCAGCAGCTTTCCCGTCCCTACTGGTGCCCGACTGTCAGCGTGTCTTGTCCCACACCTGTGGCCGGGAGGGGACCGCTTGTCCTCTGTCCAGCAGAAGGGGTGGTCACCTTCCCTTGCTGCGAGGCGAGTACGGAGGGCCTCCCACTGGAGGTGCCGCCTCAGGCCAGGTCACCCAGGTCCACCTCAGGGATCGTATGACCCCCATATATATATATATATTTTTTTATAATGTTGCCTTCACAAAGGAGGTAAAGCCTGGGCTGTGTTTTGTTTTTTTTTTAAAGAAGATGTTGGAGGTAGGAGTTTATTAATTTATTAATTTATTTTTGCTGTGTTGGGTCTTCGTTTCTGTGCAAGGGCTTTCTCTAGTTGTGGCAACTGGGGGCCACTCTTCATCGTGGTGCGCGGGCCTCTCACTATCGCGGCCTCTCTTGTTGTGGAGCACAGGCTCCAGACGCGCAGGCTCAGTAGTTGTGGCTCACGGGTCTAGTTGCTCCGCAGCATGTGGGATCCTCCCAGACCAGGGCTCAAACCCGTGTCCCCTGCATTAGCAGGCAGATTCTCAACCACTGTGCCACCAGGGAAGCCCTGACCCCCATCTTGATTAATGGTACCACCATGCACCCAGTTAGCAGAGAGAGGTCATTCTTGCTTCCTCTGCCACTTCCCCCCTTTAATCTGAACTCCCTGAAAGTAAGGACTTTGATTCAGCACTGCATCCCCAGGTGCCTAGAATAGTGCCTTGCACACAGTAAGCATTCAGTTCAAGAGTGAAGACATTCTTGGGACTTCCCTGGTGGTCCAGTGGTTGAGTCAGTCTTACTGCACAGGGGACACTGGTTCGATCCCTGGTCGGGCAACTAAGCCCATTCGTGCAATGAAGAGCCCGTGCACTGCAACGAAAAATGCTGTGCGTGTCACAACTGAGACCCGACGCAGCCAATAAATAAATATGTACATTAAAAAAAAAAGAATGAAGACATTCCTATCACTCAGCAATTGCTACATAACAAATCATCCCCAAACTCAATGGCTTAAATAAACTCTCATTTATTATTACAACTCACGTGCCTATGGGTTGGCAGATCTTGCCTGGCCTCAGTCACAAGGCTGTGAGTCATCTGGGGGCTCTGTCCTATGCTTGGCTGGGATGGCTCTGCTCCACTTGCCTCTTGTCCTTCTTCTGGGCCTAGTGGACTAGCCCTGGCAAGGTCTTCTCATGGCAAGGGTGGAGGCCCAAGAGTGAGCAACCCCACTGCACCGGTGCTTTTCAATACTAGTTAAGTTGTTAAGTCACACCCACTAACATCTTGTTGGCCCAAGCAAGTCACATGGCAAAGCCACCAAGTCAGCCATTAACGCCTATCCTTTCTACCTCTTAAACATCTGAAATCCATCTCCTCCTTGTCATTCCTGTTTCTCATTCCTGCTCTAGTTCAAGCCCCGTCATCTCTCACCTGGATGACTCCAATAGTCTCTTACTTAGCCAGTCTCCCAGCCTTGCATTGCTCCTTTCAATTTACTCATCACTACTGTGAAAGCGTGTATAGAAACAGCAGTCTTTCTAAAATGCACATCCAATGTTTCTCCCCACTTAAAGCCCATTAGTGGATCTCTAACATCTACAGAGTAAGGCTCAACCCCTAGGCATGACTGGCAAAGCCCACCGTGATCCACTTCTGCTTCGGAGCCTGTCCTCCCGATCTCTCCATTGCTGTTTTTGCCACTTGGGGTGCCCTTCCCCCAACCATGGCCTGCGAAGCCATAATCCTTCTTCAAGATCCAGCTCTTCTGTGAAGACTTTCCTAAACACCTGCAACCCTGGAGCTGTCCACTGCCCTGTCCACCTCTGCATCCCGTTCACTTCTGTGATAACGTTAGCGTTCAGCTTTGCCATGATTCCTCTGGAGGCCAGCACCAGTAGCCACCTGATGAACGTTTAATACAACATTAAGAGAAAAAAGCAGGATTCAGAGTGGAATGCTGAGTATGATTTTGAGTTTGCAAAGGCATACACACATGTAAATATACAAAAAATTTAGGCACAATCATCTCTAGATGGTGACATCATAAGTGATTTTTATTTCCATCTTTATACTTTTCTGTAGACTCTAAAATTTTTTTCTAACTAGTATGTATAACTTTTATAAAAATAATGGTATCTTAAAAACATTTATTTTTGT